GTGCGCGAGCGGCGCCGCATGCAGTCTATCAATGATGCCTTCGAGGGGCTGCGTTCGCACATCCCCACACTGCCCTACGAAAAGCGCCTCTCCAAGGTAGACACGCTGCGCTTGGCCATCGGCTATATCAACTTCCTCAGCGAGCTGGTGCAGGCGGACCTGCCACTGCGCGGTGGTGGCACAGGTGGTTGTGGGGGCCCAGGTGGCAGCCGGCATCTAGGCTGTGACAGCCCGGGTAACCAGGTCCAGAAGGTCATCATTTGCCACCGAGGCACCCGTAAGTGCATCTGTGTCTTAGCATCAGCTGAGGGGACAGGGACAGAGACAGAGACAGGATATTGAGAAGTCTGGCACAAGGGCTGATTAATGAGGATGGAACATAGGTGGGCACTAAGAACCTTGAGGATGACCTTTCGATTCTGTTTTCTGATACTTGACCTAGGCTTGGAGGGCGTGGGTCCTCCTCAGACATGGGCCTCCTTGGGTTTCGGAAAGAGAGTGCTGAGACTTTGAGGTGTGTAGTAGAGAAGGGTCTCAGTTGCTTCAGAGGGGACCCTAAAGGACCATGAGTGACTTTTGGGAACATAGTTGGGTGCTCACAATCTGTTTTCTCCTTTCTCCTTCCCAGGCTCCCCCTCCCCCAGTGACCCGGATTATGGCCTCCCTCCTCTTGCTGGGCACTCTCTCTCATGGACTGATGAAAAACAGCTCAAAGAACAAAATATTATCCGTACAGCTAAAGTGTGGACCCCAGAGGACCCCAGAAAACTCAACAGTAAATCTTTCGACAACATAGAGAACGAACCACCCTTTGAGTTTGTGTCCTGAGAAAGCTCACAAAGGGCAGACTGTGTCTCTGTGCATATTGTACGGTGTAAATACCTATAATGTAAATGTAATTTAAAGATCACATTTTTCTAATGGCAATCAACTGTTCGTTATTTATCTATTTATTGTTCTGTTGGTTTAATGAAATAGATGGTCACTTTTTAAATATATAATTTATATAATTTATCATGATATTCTATAATATGCATCAGAGGGTGATTTTCCCCAGCACCTTTGGCACAACTGAGTTGTTGGAAGAACTCTGGCTAGAAATTTTCATGCTTATTTAATGTCAGATTTGGCTTATTTCTAAGAGTTGTTAATAAATGCTATGGGCTCCTGTTTCTATACGCTGTTTGTTTAGTCAATCATAGGGGTAACTGTGTCTTCAAAAGAATTAACTTGCCTAAAAGTGACAGGGACAGGCTCAAATCCTAAACATCTGGGAGTAAACTACATTTCATTTAGGTTTGGTCTGAAGGGTAGTGGGTGTAGGTGGGAGTATAAATCCCAGCTCTCTGACAGACACTAATCTGTCACCCTGGCTCTCGATAGTAACAACTTGCCTGGATTTGTGCCCTAACTACCAGACACCCCACAGGATAACTAGGCCATAGGTAATTTCTTATTCCCATTTTCCAGAGTGGGAAAGCTGAGGTTAGGAACAATGTTTGGCCTGCCCCAAGTGACTGCCATGGCGCCTAATCAGAGTCTAGATTCCTGGCTAGTCAGGGGAGGGGCTTTTCTGCTTGCACTGGCTAGGGAGAAAGAACGACTCTAGGGCTGAGCCATGACTCTCCCCTGAAAGGAACGCGAGTAGTTGACCTTGTCAGGAACCCCCCTCCCCCCCCCCACAACCTTCGGGGGTTCTGTATAAGGCGGAGAGAAGCTTTCCTCCCACCCCCACCTGGCCACTTCTACACTTACTTTAAAACAATACCGAGCCCTCCTCTGGCCCTAACAGGAGGAAGGCCAGCCTGAGGCGGAGGTAGCAGGGTCGCCCTCTAGCGAATCGAAAGAGAAGCGATGGAGAAGTCTGGGTCCTCTACTAGAAAGCCCTTGAAGGCTGGGCTGAACTTATCTCCTCCTGGGCCACGGTGGACTCCCAGACCCTCCAGACGCTTTTGCCGTCCAGCCAGTGTGGTGTCTGGGCTCTTGGTGGCTCGTGAAGGGGACGGCGTGTGGGGGCAGGGCAGGAGATGCTCACTTTGGCATGTAACCTTTGACTCAGAGCTACCGCCAGCCGGTCAAGGTGAGTTGCTTCTTCCAGCAGCAGAAGCCTGGGGGAGTCAAGGTGCGATCGCCTATCTCCGGTTGTCCCCTCTCCCCCCACCTCAGCCGCTCCGAGCGCCTGGCCAGAGGACAGCATACAGACAGCATGCTAATCGCTTTAACCTAGTTTCAGACCCACCGAGGGGTTCCCCCGCGCGCGCCGCGGGTGCCATGGACTTCATCCAAGAGTAATTAAAGCGAGGCTAGGAGCTGGACCGACCCGGCAGAGCCGCCTGGCCAGACACGCTAAGATTCTGGGTCGCGACGCTCCCCAGGAGGCCTAGAGCCCTGGACCCCCTCATCTCCTCCAGCCTTCTCCTGTTCTCACACCTCCTCTCTCCCTAAAAGTTGGTTTTACTCTGGAGATGTTTGAGAAGGAGAAAAAAAATAATTCGATTTTGCCCTGTATTACGGCCTCATTAAACAGGAAAGTTGCTTTTGTACAAACGCTCCCATCAGGCATGTAATCTCATTACACTCATTAGAAAGTCAAATGTTAGACTTCAACTTCCTTATGTTATGAAAGTGTATCTTTTTTTCCTCCTTCTGTGTAGACCTGCCTTCCGATTGGATGGGGCAGTGTGGCACTTCACAGTTCAAACACTACAATCATTGTGGTGTGGCACCTTTTATTTCGAATGCCACTTTTTTTTTTGTGATTCAATGCATCAACACATCCTTTAGTGCTGTGCAGATGAAGCGGAAGAGCCCAGCTAAGCCTGTAAAGCACCGAGGTCTCTATCTTGTCACTCTTATGTCCTGACTTGGCAAGTCCCTTTAAGCACAATCTTCAAAGAGACTGACAGTTTCTTTTTATTTACTCATAATCTATTCATTCCAGTGTAGCAATTCTTTTTTCTTAAAATATACAGCAGCAAAAGCAGAACAAACGTATCATTTCAGAGCCTCATTTCAGAGCCTCCTTTGGCATCCTGAGGCCTGAGCTGTGCTGGGCTCAGGGGAGCCAGGCTGTGGAGTCTCTGGCCTGAACCATCTCTGGCCCATAAATACAGCCTGGCCCTGGGAAGACCATGTGGGGACAACTTAAGTGATGGGTATTCAGCAATCCTAAGTCAATACTCCTCCACCCCAGTCCAAATTAGAAAAAAAATGCCTATGAAAATAAATGAAGTAGTCTGGGTGGCTATGGAGAGGCTTTGCCAGACATTGCTTTTCTAACCCATCAGCCCTTGTGCTGAACACTAGCCTGCCACCACTAAGGGGAAAGACTTTAAAGTTCACCCTGGTGGTTCATTTTAGCATAATAAAGAAGCTGTGAACCCAACCCGGGTATATTTTATGATCTTTACTGTGAAGCTGGCAAAATCATTCCTCAGTGGTCCGGATTCCAGTGCTGGCCGTGGGGGTGGGGGCAGGGGAAGTGTTGCAATGCTTTGCTGAAAGTGCTCTGGCATGTCCTTCTCGCCCCCAACTCCAGTCTACCATGCTTTCTCCATCCAGATTACTGAACAGATCTGTCTTCCAGGGTGAGCACCAAGGACAATATTTAGTCAAAGCTCCTTTCCCCCACCTCTCTTGTTCCCTCACACTTCAAGTGGGAGAGCCATCAGGGTTTCTTGTCATGATGTTAAGAGACAGATGTCACCCTGCTTCCAAGAAAAAGATGGCTTCCTATTGTCAGGGCCTAGAAAGCACATCCATCATGCCCCTCCTTCTTATTCTCTTGATGGGACTTCCAGTTTTGAGATGAACTAGGGGTGAGGAGACTCTTAAAGTGGGGAAGGCTTAGCAAGGTCCAAGGAGGACAGGGAAGTCACTTCTGCAAACTTGGGCTAACCTGGTTCAGGAATGGAGCCCCCTGGTGGAGCCCCTTCCTGTCCATGGAGGATACACTGTGGCTTAACTAAAAACTCTTGGAAGGAGCTGAATTCTGTGGGACTCAAAGGCAGAAAAATTAGATGGGAAAAAGGGTGAGTCCTCCACCCCAGGCTGGGAGCAGAGGGCATAAAAGGCCTTGTTGGAGCTCCTGTGAAACTGCCTGCCAGCCATTCCCAGGACTGCTCATCTGCCAGTACCAGGATTAACGCCCCTCCATGGAGAGGGTGTGAAGCCCTTTAAATCCACAAACTCATCCTATTTCCATTAATGGGCCTTTGCAGTGGCACCGAGTACCAGCTGCGAGGATGAACAAACACCAGTTGAGTACTCCCTGGCGAATCTCTCTGGGAAGAGCTTTTTCCCTCCCTCTCTCACTCACCCTCCCCTCCCACAGCCTTTCCAAAGCCTTCTGCAGCCTGTGGGAATGGTCCTAAATAATTCCACAACCAATTGCATGTTTTGAGATCTGGAACCACTGGTAGGAAAGGATTCCCACGACAGGATGTGAGGTCTGGCCAACAGGTGTTCGGATTTGGCCCAGGGAGATGGAGAAACCCAGGGAGAGAGACAGGCCTGCCAGAAAGCAGACTGCTCAGGGCCTCACAGCTTTACAGGCCGTGGAAGCCGCAGACAATCGAAATGATATCTTTATTGCTAGGTTCATGTCCTGGGCTATAACATATCAATCCCTGTCGTGGTTCTCTGGGATGCACCTGGTATTTCAAACTTGTTCTTTTTGTGCTTCTGGGTCCTGGACTGCAGCTGCCTAAAACAAGCAAAGAGAGAGGCCCTTACAATGTCTCCAAGACGTGTTGGCATGGCCTGCCTGTCTTTAATGTACCATTAACCATTGTCTTTACACAATATGGGAACTGTAAAGCATGACATGTGTTATAATAAAACACATTTTCAATGATACACTTGGACTTGAGGCTGGGGTGTAGCAAACAAACAGGCCCAAATCTTGTTTTGTCTCACTTGCTAAGCCCACTGGCAATTAAACTTAAGACCACTGTTCCCCCCACTCCTCACCAGCCAATTAAGTTTTATGTCTCCTAATTTTTCACATAGAAAAAAAGTCTCAGTGCTGGCCCCTAAAGACATTGATTTTCTTGCTATCACCTGGCGCTCAGACCTTAGTTCCATTTATCAAGAAGGGAACGTCAGGCATTACATAAAGTGACTCTGTTACCATAAGGCTCTCACCACCCTGGCCCATTGTTTTCCCTTGTTAATAACTCATTACCAGGATTTAACAAATCAACCATTACATATGTTTTGTGTCTCCATATTTTGATCCGTACGATTAAGCAGATGTTACGATTGAAAATTGAAAAGTCCAAGGCTACTCCAGTTTGAAAGAAAGAGGGCAGCCTCAAACAACGAGCTAACAATGAGATTCAGAAGATCTTCAGAAAAACATTTACCACCAATAAACAGACTCCAACCTGCTCCATTTCAACCATTGTGCGCTTTGGAGGAATAATTAAGTTTAATAGGAATAGGTCTGGAGGGTTTTCAATGCCAAGACCACAGGTGCGGGGTGGCATGATGAATGATTTGCCTGGTTTTTGCCAGGCTCAAGGGCTCTTCTCTTGGACTTTCAAGCAGATAGAAAATATTGTCATTTCTTTTAATTCACAGCATTACTTTCAAACCGAACAAAGGCCGGGCCGGGGGGAGGCGGGGGAACGGCTCGGCCTGTAATGAAGCGCTTCGGAGGCGGAGGTGCAGCGGAGGAGGCTGAGGCGGCGGCTGAGCGCACTGCTGCGTTTGTGCGCAAGTGACACTCCTGTGCCACACACAAAAGGCCTTCTTCTCCCACCTTCTGCTGCTTTTCAACCCTCGGTCCCCTGCCAAACCGGCTCCTGGGACGCCGGGGGGGCTCCTGGCCTCCTATCCAGGGCAACCCAGCCTTTGGGACAACCGTCGCTGCCAAGGCAAACCTCGCCAAACTTTCCCCAAACTCGGCCGGCTGGGGAGGGACCCTGGCCGTGGGCGCGCATGCGCCCCGTCTGCTCTTGCCTGTTCCCAGGGTTCCGGAGAGCCGGGATGGAGTCGGTGGTGTAGCCCAGGAGGCCCGACTAGCTCCGGCTACCCAAAAAGTCTGGGTTCAGGTGTGGTCTGTCCGTCCAGGATGCTGGAAGCTGCTGCCCCGCACCAGCTCTCCGCCATTCTACTATCTTTGCGCATGGAAGTCTCCAAGAGGGTATCCCGGAAGCGGCGAGTGGAACTGGGGGCCAGCCACCGGGAGGAGGCCCTTAATGAGAACCCCAGGCTTCCTCTAAGGAGTCCCCAGGTCACTGCCGCCCCCTGGCTCGGCGGGGAGCCTCGGGTAGTCCGGCTTCAAGGAGTCGGGTGGCCAGGAGCGCAGGTTGTTGGTTGGCTGGTTTTGCTTGGTGGTCCCAGTGCCTGCTCTAGCAGCGACAGTGGTGGAACACAAGCGTCTAGCTGGCCCCACTTTCGTACTCTTGGGGGTCTATCGTTGATTCTCTGAGAGACTTCGCTGGATGATCCCCGCAGATTAGTGCCAGCAGGTTTCCTGGCGTGTCTGCGTTAGTTCCAAACAACCTGTTGCGCTGGCATTGCTTTGGAGAGGCGCAGGCACTTTGCTTGGGGGAGGCAGGCTGTGTGGCGGCCCCTGGCTTCCAGGAAAGGCTTTCATGTTCTCTGCTAATGAGAGGCACCCTTCTCCTCCTCCCGTGATACCCGGAATGCTTCACCCCTGCCTGCGTCCCAGCAACCCAAGGTGTCCTGGGCATCGTTGTACCTTGCCTCTTCTAGGGCCTCCTCATGTAACTCTTTATACTTTGGGTAGTAAGAATAGACAAAGATCAGGATTAGAGAGACACCAGCTAATCCACAACCCCCTCACTTCTGCACTCGCTTCCCTCAACCCTCCCCTCCGCAGCCAGATAGGACTCTTTGGTGTATAAGCACCCAGAAAAGAAAGCTAATGTTTTATTCGCGCTCCTGTCTTAGAAGGACTGATACGTGGGGTAATTCTCTCTCTTAAAGATTTTTTAATTGTTTCTATTTTGCAGTTTCTTTCCAGCGGCTGTGTAGGCTCCCCTTTGGCTTCTTTCATGATTCAGTACCAGGTCATCTCCCCATGAGCTAGTCACCTACAGCTAGAATATAAGAAAGACATTGGAAACCTAATAGGGTGATAAGTCAACCTAGGAGATGTCTCTAGAAGTCTTATTAAGAAGTACAGTTGGACAAGCTTTTACATTAAAACAAAACAAAACAAATTAGGCATGCCCTTACTCTGGATGATTTAAAACGAGCCACTTCCAAATGAAGGACGCTTGCTCGTAGCCCTACAAAGAGCACAAGTGCATACAATTAAATATTAGGGCTCACCAATTAGCATTTGTGGCAATAGCAAATGTGTGACTCCTCACAGCAATTATTTGGAAGTTTTTCCATACTTTTGAAGACATACTTGACGCCTCATTTCTTTGATGACTGCTCAAAAGACACCCTGAAGCAGCAGCGGAGCTGCCCCCTCCCCAGCGCTCCTCTAGCTTGCGGGGCTTTCATCCAGGGCTTGAATTGTGTTGTCAAAGTTTAGTAGACAGAGGAGGGGGCATGAGAACGGGAGGGTGTCTTGAAAAGTCTTGGAAATCGGTATATTTTGCAGGTGTAGAATGTGCCTAATAGCCATGGCTAGTGCCTGCTCCCCAATGGTGAGGGTATGACAGGGACAGCTGGCTAGTTTTCAGTGTGAAAACACCCCCTCGGTGGACCAAACACAACGACACTGACCTTTCTGCGGGGGAACCAGAGATGTGCCTTTGACTGAATTAGCCACAAAGACGTCTTGCTATGACTTTTGTTCACCACGAAAGCAAAGAAATATTGCGTTTAATATGAAAAGTACTGTTCACAGCTTTTCCGTGCCCTGTAAGAAGTATTACAGTGCTGATTTACTGGTCCCCTTCTCCAGAGCTGGCTGGTCGGTCACAAGGCACTCTAGGGGTGGAGGGGTGGGGATGGGACAAGGGAGACCAAGCAGGAGGAGGGGGAGCTGGTAAGTTAAATTGCCTGGTGCTGTTTCCAAGTTCTCTCTGTGCAGCAGCAAATTTATCAATCTTTTCATGTGACAATACTTTGAAATATATCATTGTCATCCCAAGTTGTTTGATAGATTATCTGTAGGCGCACAGCCTTTTCCAAGGTCAAGTTGAAGATTCCTGTTTGCTGTTTAACTGGCTTGTTTAAAAGCTCAGAACAATGCCTGCCTGTTAAATTTTCACTTGTTCTCATGGGACATTGGAAAGCAAGCTTTTCCTATTGACTGGGTCTCTGGATACTTCATCTTTCTGAGTTAAGTTCAGCAAACAGGCAATAAGATCAACAGTAGGAAAAATGAGATTTAACCTTACCCTTGACAGATGCAGAGGAGATTAAGTCATCTCTCGTCACAGTGTGCACTAATTTTTATGTGTGTTAGGGGCTGGTTATAACCACACACATCATGTTCAACTTTATCATTTTATTCTAGTAGGAAGCTACAAATACACTCCTCTAAAGCAGAAAGGCACAGAGATTGTGGCTGCTCCTTCGAGGTTTGTTGTTGTTTGTTTGACAGAGCATAACCTGTTGCTTTAAGGCTGCTGCAAAAATTAAAGTCAATTCAAAACCACCATGTTTCTGGACATACTTATTTCTGTTTTTAATCTCAGGATTGGCTTCACAGTTTCCTCTATATCTGCAATGATTGATTTTTTTTTTATTCAACTAACTTTTATTTACCTTGCAATAATGTTCTGGACCAATGTGATAAATTACAGATATGCAAATTTCTTTGAATGGTGTTGTAAGTGTGTCTAGCTGGAGCTGAATGACTCCTTGCAAGTCAGTCTGTGCGCGCTCAGGACCCCAGGGAGCTGATCAAAGCACCCATTCTCTTTCATCCCCAGTATTCTCCTCCAAACTATTTCGATACAATATGTTTCCATGATGCACTTAATGTGCCAGGGACATAGAACTCATTACAACCTAGCTAGTTCTGCCGACCTCTTTGTTCCTCGGCAGAAAGTCAAAGAAAAAAGGAAAAGCCCCGCCAGTTGCCAGCTTTCTGAAATGCTAAAGCATGCGTCATTTTTCACCAGGTCTGGTCTTGATATCCTCAAAAGACAAACTATGAAACCGGCCTCAGCCCTTTCTGGCATTAATTACACTGCTGTCCAACCGATCTGTTTTTCCTATTATATGCATTTCTCAGCAGGGATTTTTTTTTTTTTTTTGCAAGACTAATGCAGCTGCGAGTTAAACTATGAATGCATTTTTTTATCGCTATGGAAAAAATGAATGAAAAGGCTGCAAAGCATACAGCAAAAACGTTTGAAAGCATTCTGGTGGGCAACCGGTTTAGGGCTGGCCTTGGGAGGGGGCTTCGAGGTCTCTAAATCCAAAGTTGACCAGACTCTGATGTCTCCAACTCACTCAGCCTCTGTGGTGATGCTTACTGTGCCATTTGAAATTCCACTTTGGTACTCAAAGCTTAAAGGTTAAGAATGTCCAGTAAAATTCTGAAATGGAAGGTCTTACTACATCCAACCAGGAGGCACTTCCGTGGAATTTTGGTCCAGGATAATGGCACAGAGAATCTAAATTTTATGTGATCTCCTTCTTGGAGGGTTGATTGGTTGGTGGGAATGGCTGGCAGCCAGTTCTGGGAAAGATTCCAGACCTGACTCCGATTAACCCTCTCTGGTGAAACTCTGCTGGAAACCAACTCACCAGCAATTGCCATTAATCTACTTACTAATTAAGCCAATTCATTTCTAAAGGAGAAAAATTCCTTTCTTTAGCCAAACTGATGGGAGGAAATTTGAAAGAAGCGCCAAACTGTGTAACTGTAATTCAGCCAAGGACTGCTAAAACAAGGTGTTGATATATAGCAGCAGATTTAAAACAAGTTTCTAGGGCAACACTCCTTTGGAGGCGGTGGCATATAGTGCACAGTAGATGAAGCTCGAATAATGCTCCACGGCGCCATGCCATCCTATGTACTAGCGTTCGAAATAACAAGTCTCTTTCCAATTAAATCTTGTTCCTTTTACGCACAAATAAATCGCCTCTCCAGCTTTCTTTTGGACCAGTCTATGCCAGCTTTATGTGACAGCTACTCCAAATATATCGCTTGCGACTTGGTAAGTAGCCCTAGAAATTTGTTGCACAAAGCCTAGGATCAGGTACAAGGCAGGCAGCCTTGAAGTTCAGGGAATAGAAAAGACAAAGTTGAACGTTACGCATGGGAGAGAAGCAGCCTGGCTCTGCGGTAAGTGGCACCTAGTTTGCAGACAGAGCGAATTTACATTAATCTTGGTCTTCATCCTTACCAAGAAGCAAACTCCAAAGAGTTTCTTCACTTACCAAAGAATCATTGCTTGCCTTTAGGATGCCTCTAAAGGTCCCTGAGCGGAAATGAGGGCAAAGTGCACTTGCCATCAGGAAATTCAAATCCCTTTGCCTCTTTCTGGTTCATGTTCACGGGCAGGCATTAGACCGTGGGTCCAGGAGGAATCGAATTAATTTGGCTTTGAATAAGAGACTGGGTGCAT